GGCTGAAGCGCCCAAGTAGTTTCCCACCGTTTCATACGGGAACCGTCCGTCCTTTCCGCTGCTTCTGCGTGATGTCTAGCCTTCAGAATTGACGCCGTATCTGCATCGTTGGTCTCAAATGATACATCCGTAAAAGCAATACACCAAATCCAAAACCATATCGAACCGATAACCCATCGGTCTTGCTTCACAAATCGGTCACGAAGAGATTCATTATACCACTCTCCTCGAGATATTTCTATCCCCGATGTTCACGTTGTGATATCTTGGTTCATTTCAAAGAATAAGCGACGATGAAAACGTTTACGCTCAATCAGTATTCCCGGATGGCTTGCCAGTGGTGGAGTAGTCAATGAACTTTGGAAATGGGCGCTGCTCTGGTGTATGAGTAACTTGATTTCTTCGTATTTGCATGGTTTAACCATGAAAAATTTTCTTCGATGAGACATCGCCGGCGGTCTTTTCTTATGCAACGATGATATATGAAGTCCTCCTTGCTCTGGATTCATTCTCTGGATTCATTAGATTAGATGGGCCAACAAATAATCCAAAAAATTCTGAATTGGTGCTGAAATGGTAAGTCGTCTGCCAGTGTGACTTCGAAGGGCGTCTGTCATATCTGCATAGATCATCAATCTATGACAACACCACACCCACAATCACCTAAACCAGGACCTAACTTCCAATCCACCACCAATGCACAAGGTTGCATACCATTCCAGTAATATTGACAATGTTGCCAAATGTACACAGCAAGTAAATTCAGTCTCTTTACAGGAAATTACATGCAATTTTTGCAATTTTCTCATTTGCTAAAGGCATTTGAAAGCACTCCAAAAATATATGTACAGTAGCTGGGGGGACATTGCTTCCATTGCCTCACGGAACTCCACTTGCCTTTGTTCTGGTAAATTTGAACTGTCAGTCATACAAATTGAAGTCTTTCTCAATAACTCATCCTTGATCAGTTTCTATGGCCAGAAAGGGCCAGGCTCCAACCCTTCACAGGGGTCTGTGGTCCGTGTCTTCTTGAAGATTTTATCCTAAGGAAGCATAGAGGGGCAGCCACAAAGGCATTCGAAGGAATTCATGACAGAATGCAGGAAAGTGAGAGAGGCAGTGATGAATGCATCAAAAGCCCTTGGACCAGGAGAGAAGAGAAAAAATGATCCAGCGCATCCAGGTGACTTAATGAACAAATCACATCATAGTCATTTGATTTCTCATTTCTTTGTGACTTCCTTGCTTCCTGTATTTACATGAACAATGATACAGCACTGACTTCATTGATGCAACATTTCCCGCACCTCCCTCTGCCTCAGCAGAGATATGTCTATACTATTTAGTCATGGTCATATTGGACTGCTTGCTCCAGTCTTTGCAAGTGCAGACTCGCATGCAGTGTAACTTAAGATGGGTTGATGTGCCATCAGGAGGAAGAAATATGGATTATCACCATGAACAGACATCTCATGTATTGGAATACTGCTTGTGATTATATACTGTACCATTTATTGATCAGTTGTACCAGTGGGACCCAGATAATTGTCTTCAAGTCAGGGGATACCAGTGGGATTGAGAAATCCTGAAGAGTCAAAAGTTGCTTTTAACAACTGCAACCTCACTGCCTATTATATATCTACTGGATATCAAATCAGACTGTCTTTATTCATTGCTCTGGCTGGGAGCAATTCCTACTTCACATAATGTCAGATATCTATTTTCATAAGTGGGAGTTTTCCTGAGTTTTCATTCTCATCTGCAATACTCCCTGTCATTCAAGCAATGAGCAAAATTTCCAAGGTGCAATTGGATACCAAGAATCACATCATATCATGATTTTTGGTGAAATTCAAATCCATCAGTGGCAGGCAAGCTATCACGTAGCTGATTGTTGATGGTCTCTTCATGGTTCAATAAGTCCCTGAGAATGTTTTCTAATCTAGGCTTTTTCTGTGACCAAATTGTAGGGGCTTGGAGTCCCTGTACAAGAACAAAGGTTAATGTAATTCAAAGTCCTCTTTTTTCTTGCAGTTGACATGGAAGTATTGTTGATCTTTTTTCTAATACTCCTCATCCCTACCCCCTTCAAAGCTCCATTTATACACCTCTGGCCTTGGTTTGACTGCCAGCCAGGGAGTCCCAGGAAACTTGTTTTTTTGGGTAGTTTGGCCGAAATGGGTAGGTATCCACGGAACTCAGGAAGAGCCTCCTAAGTGTTGAGCAGGCAAGGGGTACATAGTGGGGACACTCTCCAGCACCATACCTAGGTAGTAGAGCTTAGAGTCTCAGTGAGGCAATAAAGATGAGAGAGAAGCGAGTTGGATTCTGGTACAGAATACAGCCTATTTATATGCATAAATGTATGACAGTATTACATAAGGAAGTACTGAGGAATCTGCAAATAGTAAATGACTACATATGACTACATATGACATAGTATAACACATGATCATATTAGTAGCGTGTGAACTGCATAGCCGCATTCAACACTAAATTGATCGGATAAGGGATTGGGCCACTGACCGGTGTGTGGGCCTTGCGGATGAGGTGTGGTAGCTGCAGCATGTTATAAGGGTACTTAAGTGGCAAAGGGGGCTTCCTTCTTTCCTTCTTTCCTCTTTCTGTCAAAAACAAAGTAAGGATGAGTACAACGGTGGATACAGCAGTTCTTGGACAGATTATGACACAGTTGGAGTTGTTGCAGATGACTCAGCAGGTGATGCAGGTCAAGGTTTGTGATTGGCTATGGGTGCTGGGTGTCGTGTACTAATAACATGGATGGTAGTTGGATAATCTCAGCCCTGGTACACCGACCTCACCTCCTCCTCTTGAGTCTAAGAGTCTTCCCAATGGAAACAGCACCAAACCCACAGCCAACCCCAGCAAAGAGAAATCATTGTACCCAGGGCAAGTGCTGCTCACAGCATACCCCTCGCAACACTCCATCACCCCCTACCCTCTCACCTGGGGTGCCCCAATGCCTCTCTTCCGCGGCCCCATCATCTGCTCCTGCTTCCCCTTTCACAATGCCCTCAGTGCCCACAGCGGGAGCTACTCCATCTACTGCGCCCTCAGCATTGCCATGGGCACCCTTGACCCCACCTATAAATTTGACTACACCATGACCCAGCCCCCAGTGGAAATCCATGAGAACCCCACCTGGCGCGATGCATACAAGATTGTGAGCATGAACCCCTGGGGACATTTTGTCCTGAGTATGTTTGAGAAAGGGGGGAAGGAAGGCAGGAAGGGTGGGGAGGGGCTGGATATTCACCCCTTGATCTTGTTGACAAAGGCACATATTAAGTTGAAGGAGATTGATAAGGCAGTGCGGAGGGGGGAGATTGTGGTGGATGTTATGAAGTACATAACCCCTATTATTTTCTCTTTCTCACTGTCTCGACGCCCTTACTGGTACGATACTCCCATCTCATCATCATTATGCTACATCACTGTCAAACCCCCATCAATTACTGATCCACCTGACCCCCTTCATTGATCATCGATCCACCTGTTACCCTTCTCCTTCTACTGGCTTCTGCCACCTTCTTTATCTCTGAACTGTACAGTATTATGTCATTATTTCTCGCAGATCGGATTATGTATATAAAGCCAGCCCCCACAGCCTGGTCCCTTATCTTGACCTCTCTGTCATTATCTTGGAACCAGGTATGTGCCTACCTACTAGTATTTATGACTATGATACTAATATAACTCTGTCATTATCTTGGGACCAGTCTGTCTCTGCTCCGCTTAGTTGCTCCACACTATCACTCTGCTCCGTTGCTCTGCCTAGTCAGCCCACTGCTGCCGCTTTGTGACAGTGGATGGGAAGATTGTGATGGGGAGCAAGGAGATGAGGAGGGAGGATGGGAGTTTGGTGGAAGGGATGGATGCGGGGGTGGAGGTGAATGTGTTGAAAGTGTCAAGCCCATGCCCCGGCGCCTCGCTCCGCCGCTTGGTATCCCGAGATCTGTCCTTTATTGTAATTCTCTCTTTATTGTTCTTTCTTGCTACATATACCCATTCCTTCTAGTCTCTCCTTATTGTCTTTTACTTTACCCTGCAGGTACTACACGTATAGCTCCTAGTAGTTAGTCTGGCGCTCTGCCCAGATGCGCCGATCCGTAGATATAAATACTGCCTGTACGCTACTGTAGTTCCTCAGTTTAATTATCATCTTAGATCACTCTCCTAACATCCTTGACTTGAGTCTCCCTCTGAACTCTTGTCACTCTCATTGCCTTGAAGGACTTCTTGCCCTGACCTTAGGACTGATAAGTTCTTTGGTTCGCTCCCCGTTGTCGGCGTTACCGCCGCTCCAACTTGGCTGCTGTCAAGCCCATGCCTCGGGCCTGCATCTCGCCACTTGGTACTCCGAAGATCCTGCGTTTATTGTAATCTCTTCTTATTGTTCTTTCTCACTACACATACCCTTTCATTCTAGTCTCTCCTTATTGTCTTTTACCTTACCCTGCAGGTACTACATGTATAGCTCCTAGTAGTTAGTCTGGCGCTCCGTAGATATAAATACTGCCTGTCCAGTTTAATTATTGACTTAGATTCCCTCCTTAACTCTGTGCTCTTCTAAGTCTTCAGGCTCAACGCCTTGAAGTACATTCTACTCTACCTTAGGACTTCGACGTTCTTTGGTTCGCTCCTTGTCACCGGCGATACCGCCGCTCCGACTTGGCTGCTACTCAGCTCCTCCCTTCTATACTCTTGATCTCCGGGGACTAACAGCGTAACGGCGGTGTTGTTAATAACTTCACTACTGTCCCACTCGTCTTCCGCACTTAGACACTCTGTGACCTCTGGCACGGTTACACGGTGTACATGATCTTAACAGATTTGGAGCATTGACACCCCTGAAAAATATTGTACTACTACTTCCTTCCCTAAAAATCAATTTGATTTTTACCATCCTATCCGTGCCCCAACTTTCTCATTTCTCAAAAGAAAGAAAGAAAAAAATAGATGACAACCTCACACATAAACTCCCTGGCTGGGAGTCGAACCCAGCTTTCGCGCGTGCATCCATTTTATACAAGAGGCGAAATGACAGGCGCGTGTAGTAAACCGATATACTACCAGGGATGTTTTAGTTAGAGGGCGGGGTGGGTATGATAGGAGGGGATTGCGATGTGGGTGTGGTTACCTATCCATTCATTCATTCATTCCAACCCTCCTTTCATCGCGTCCGATTTTACCATCAGTGAGTAAATTCTCCTTTGTCGCAACACGAGATCATAGATGGGGGAGCCGAGGAGGGTTCGGGTTACCGCTCACCGCTCACCACTCCCCTCTCCCCAATGCCGCTTATTACTATCACTATCACCATCCCCATCCCAAAAGCGCACCATCAGCGGCCTCCCTCGTCGATACTCAGACACATCCTGTATATGTAACATACACATACACATACATACATACATACACACCCACGCGTCAGAGCCGCACCCAACCAACTCCCCTTGAAGTTTGGACTTCCGATATCTATATTTATATCTATATCTAATCCCCACACCCCCGCCGTCCTCGCACCCCGCCGTCCTCGCAAGCCTTGGAATGGAATTTTGAACGCCCCGGAAGGATTACTGGCAGTATTCATGCCCGAATTACCCGATTTTCGTGTGTATACGGAGGAGTCGGTGATCGATAGACTGTGGGGTCGGAAGGAATGGGATATAAGATAACCGATCCACGGGGACAGGAGCCAGATGCTTCGAGCCGCATAGTGCCGTGCATCGTGATCTGCAACAACAACTGCACTGGAATTCGGGGTATGATAACACGTGGATGAAGCTTGAAGCTTTGAAGAGCGGTCACCAATCCCTAGAGCTCCTCCTCTCGATTCCAGGTCCACCCCGCCGCACGCAGGCACGCGGCAACAGGGGAGCTATGCTCAACTAAACGAAACCAAACTCCATCTCACAGCTCCTACCTCCCACCTTTTAATCCCAACCCATCCCCGAACATCCCTGAATATCACACACGAGAACTCGTTCCATCCCGAACGTGTCGTCCCAACTACAACCACAAGCACCAACACCCCCTTTTGCTTTTCTCCGTCCCCCTTTTCCCTGTCCGTTCCCCGTGCTCTAAAATAACAACAACAACTCAACTCAATTCAACTGAACACCACACACACCCCTCACCTCACCTCTCCTCACCTCCCTCGTCCACGTCGACGACGACGACGACGACGACGGTGATCAACTCCACCGCTCAACACCCTCGGTGCTCAGACGTTCTTTGATCTTCAAGTCCAGCACCGCGTATGTAACCCGGATTGGTATCGTTCGGTGAGTCGACGGTGTCTATATACATGTACATATACATATACATTCTTTTCATTATAGCGATTCCACGCAAGTATTTTTTGTTTCGGACTCAAGTTCCTTCCTTCCGATAAGCCAACTCCCTTTTTCCTTCCTTTCGACTAGCCAACTCCATTCCTTCCTTCATTCATCCATCACCATCTGTCTCACAAGCGCAACATGCTCCTCCGAGCGAGGTTTGATGCGGCATTCGAAAGGCGCTGGACCGCTAGGGTGTTGGATCAGTATCAGAGGAAATATTGGGAAGGGAAAGTAAATATTGGAAAGTGAGAAGAAAGCAGAAGAATAGCGAGAAGAAGAAAGCTAAAGGGTTAACGAATTCCCCTTAGTACTTGGTACTCAGTACTCACTTTGTGATCCCCGAAACATATTTAATCTCATTCATCGTCGTCGAATGATCCCTATCCCTATCCCCATTCCCACTCCCATTCCCATTCCCATTCCCACTCACATTTCCATTTCCATTCCCATTCCTATGATCATGACTCGGATCATCCACAGGAGGGTGGATTTCAAAACAACACAGAAGCGAGGCGACGTTGATCGAGAATGTGGACAGTGCCATGTGTTGACCGGGGCAGACTCTGTTTGTGGTTCATCCGAAATCAATCAATCAGTCACCAACAACCCTTACATACCTTCTCCCAAACCCAAAACTCATCGGAATCGGATCATGTTGTTGTATCATTTCGGAGTTCAGGGTCCATTGGACCAGGCTCCCTTTTTCATCAGAGGTAGAGGTCCGGAGGAGCCATCGTTCGGGGTCGAATGTGGATGCGGTGGGACCGTATCTTTTTTTGTCTCGGAGGATTGACCTGGGAGGGGGGTGGTGGGGTTATGGGTCAAGGAGTGGATGAATGGACGAATGGAAAAGGTCTTCACTTACCATACATTGGCTAGTATCGTCGAGCCCTTGGGGATGTAATAACCTTTATATGTATCTTCTGTATCGACAAGGTGGGGCACAGCTGGATAATCATAAAAAGAAAAAATGAAATGAAAAATGAAAATTAGAATTGGAATGAAAATTAGACACTAAACATTGGTTCTGAATAGTGATTCATATACTGTAAGTACTCACCTAATGGAACAACAGTCTGCCATCTACATAATTCCAAAACGAAAATTCATATCAAATTTTTTTTTTCAAAAATCGGGTCAAAAAAAATTCCAACACCCAAGGGAGGGAGAACAAAACAAACAAGTCTCCGACTTCAACCGAAACGGTAAATCATACCTCAGACATTCCAAAATGATTCCCCGCACATACGGCAACGTATGTGGATCGTCCACATCCTGGTAATCCGGGAGCCGTTTCCCACCCAGAACCCGATCCAGCTCCTCCTGGGCAGCGCGCTGTGCTTCCGGGAAACACATCATGGCGAGAAGGAAGGTCCGGAGAGCGGTTTTGCCAGTGTCTGCACCACCTGAATGGAGATCATGACTCCTGATATGTGGACCAGTTGGGTGGAGTGGGAGATGGACATACCTTCGTACAATGTCCCCGCTGTTTGCATGATCATCTCTTCTTCCTCCGAGAGACGAGTGGGATCAGAGTCGGAATCGGGATGAGGATTGAGCTGTTCTGCGTTTGTCAAACATCGACTGGTGAAGCTATCTTTAGCGGTTCCATCAATCTGCAGACCTCAGGTCATCACACTCTGGTGTAAGAGTCGTATGAAGTCCCAAAAAATCGATTTCCTCACCATTGCCTGCTTCACCTGCATGAACGGAGGTCGGATTGTCGCATCCCGGATCCCATACCAAGATTTGGCTTTTTGTTTGAAAGAAGCACCTGGAAACCATGCGGGGATGTATTGGAGAATCGAGAAGACATCCTGATGGGGGAAAAAAGATATATATGATAGGCATGAATTTTGATACACAGCAAGGGAAAGGGCAAGGGCACTCGGAGAGACCCCGGAGGTGGTGGCGTACCACAAAAAATGCACCAGGGACAAGAGCTGCGTTTAAAACAGAGTACATCTTTGAAGCTGCGATGATATTCGGATCGTCCTTTGGCTGGACTTGCACACCATATGCTACACCGATGATAATCGCACCAATCATCCTATACACATCAAATATGTCCAAGATTCGTGTGTTCATATCGTAGAATCAGAAAGACTGAACAGAATGAGATAATTGAAACCACTGACTGTTTGATATGACCAACCCATTCCTCTGGTGTATCAATCAGACTATTCAAGAAAATCCCCAATGCTCTTTTTTCATGTATACGATGTATGGAAAGATTTGTTGGATGGAATTCTATACCATCATATTGATTGCTAAGTAGTAAGCAGCCGCAGAGCAGACATTTATGGAAATTGAACATACCTTGATGGAAAAGCTTTCTATGAGCATTCAAGGCTTTTCCTGATGACATGAAAAGGAGATCTCCCTCCCATCTGCGTGATATGAATCACAGTCCATGGTGATGCAGTGATCTGAGGATACAAACACAAAAACTCACCCTACACTTGAACAAGAGATATACATCACTACCCATAACACGGTTTTGCTAGTGAGATATAATACTTACAGGTCCTGTAGCATTGTAAAATGTGGTCTAGAAAATAAGAAATATTGAAGCCATTTTCCTTCGAGGTAGAAGAAGTGTTTATCCTTACCGGCTTGAATAAATAGCGGATCTCTTGTCCAGTAAGTCAATCGCTGCCTCATATGAATTTAGTATGATATAATCCTCTCCCGCAACCTTGAGGTGGAGGATATCTGAATCTACAAATGTGGAATGAGATATGGACTAGTTTGGAGGCTGCAAATCTCATACCATATTGTTCAGCCCATTGGGAGAATATAATGTGTTGATCAGTAGCTGGCATATCCTTGCATTGAGTAGATGAGTATTCGATGGAATAGTCAGACAATTTCATTACATACTAATGTGTTTCCGAGGATTGGTAGTTTCCTAGGTCCAGGAGGAAGAGGCAGTTTAATTCCCGACCCGTAGCTAGTGTGATGACGCCAGAGAAATAAGATGGAAGCCAGTGTCAACGTAATAAATACGCCAATCGTCATTTCGTCTGGAGTCAAAGCTGATAACAGTGCCATACTGAGGTTGTGGGAGGACAATTGGTGATTTGGGACGGTTGTACTTGGTATATAAGTGTTTCGACCCGATAAGAACTCCTGACTGCATGAGTCAAGATAACAATGCGAAAACCAAGCTTCTGATGAGAAAGTGAAAGTGTGTGTGAGGAAATCCCAAGTCGCAGGTGAATTCAGGAGCATCAATTTCACTTGACGGCGACTTCGATTGTACAAAGCAATGTCAAGAACTGGTATGATGTTATCCGATTCCATTTGAGTAGTCAATTGCATAGTAAGCTGAGGAAGGATGATATCTGTAGTACGCTCTGATTAAAATCACGTCACCTGAGAGAATAGGAGAGAATATGCCTTCAATGCGACAGGTAGCTTGACCCTCATCTTCTTTCTCAATTGATATACTCGTCACAGGATAGTTCAACTTGGGAAAAAAATTAATTTCAGTATGTGGAGGTAACAGTGAAGCAATAAAGTGTTTGCACCATTTTCGACAGATTGGTGGAAGTCATGAGTCGAATTTCGAATTGGTATTCTTTCCAAGACGAAAGTCATGTACTGGTTTTGTCTTCTGAATAGTGCTGTATATCCCTGAGAGTGAGTATTGTTGAGCAGGCAAGGGGTGCATAGTGGTGACACTCTCTAGCACCATACCTGGGTAGTATAGCTTATAGTCTCAGTGAGGCA